AAAAAAAAAAACAGAAAAGAAAAGAAAGCATTCTCTTTCTCTTAAAAGTGTATCCTAGCAGGCTGCGTCTTCTCCATACGCGTCTCACCATACGGCTCATCATTATCGATCCTCTTGTTGTGCCTGAATGCTGCGCATGCAATAACATAGACGATGACGAGTATGATTAGCATGACAATGTTGATGACCGATACCTTTCTCCAGCTCTTTCTCAAGCTGGCTAAAACCCCTGCTTTACACGAGTCACAACTATAGCATAGTTGCTCTTGATCATTACTCCACCTCAGGCAATCTGGGTCACTACCCAAAAGCCCAGCACCAGTGTTCCAAACCGTCTCGTTGATGTATACCAAACCGCATGAAGTCGGGGGCTTGCAACATCCGGACTACATATACAACATTAATGTTTATTAGGGGATATTATTTCGTAACAAAATACTCTCATAATTGTAAACCGTCATCCACAACCACAAAAGAGGAAGGGTTAAAAGGAAATTCAGTGAAATTAGGCTACGTAAGAGTAGTTTTTGTATTTATTTGAAAGTGAAACTCGGAACATATTGTGCATATGTCGTTTGAGGAGCTATGTCACATTACCGGTTTCAGTTTTTCCAAGGGTTGAAAGGAAACATGAACCAGGCCACATAGGATGATTTCCTATTTTGTTACAATGTCATAAAAAGAAAATTTTAAGAGGAAAATAATTTGTGTAGTAAATTTTTTTTTTTTTCTTTTCTAGCTTCATTTCCTTAGCTCACTGAATCAACTCAAGAAAGTGACACACAGATTCAGGCAAACTTTATCTTCAATCACTTGCATCATCAAAGTGATCTTTGCCATGCCATTTTTTACTCTATCGTTATGAGTTAACATCAAAAAGATTTTTACAAGATCTGAAAATAATAATTTACACAATTATGTCAAAATTATATCGAATTACCATTCAGCTTTGTTTGTGTATTTTTGTGCTTACTTACCTTTGTATTTTTCCAACAATATTGAAACAAGAGCATATCCCTATAAGCATTTTTTTTTTTTAAATTAGCTAGTTTGCAGAGACTCCCTATCGAGAATTCTATTGCCATGCCACAAAGTATGACCATTAATAGCAGTCCATGCATCCCCAAAATAAAGAGAAGTTAGCCTCCAAATTATTATAGAATAATACTTAAATGAGCTGTAAGCATTTCCACTGTCAGACAATTTTCAATTTTATAGGCAAAAAATAGTAAAAAGAACTATTCTGATTTTATTTCTCAAATTATGATAACATGTGCATGTAACTCAACTTGACCCCTCATCCTTTATAAGGATATTCACCAAGATCTGAACCATGTACCATGCCATTATTTTTTTCTTATTATTTCCCTCCCCTCCTCTCCACTACCCAGTAAAAAAACCAATCTCATTTATTTCATCAATTTAAATACATACCTAACACATACAAACACATATTGAACAATCTAAAAGTAGACATCATTACTTAAAATAATGTTCTTGGGAAGGCCATCCGCTGTTATCTCACTACTCTCATGGTGTAGTTTTATTTGGTCCCCACAAACTAAAGACTTTATTGAGTACCAAATTATCTCAATATCCTGTGGTTTGCGTAATTTACATTTTTGACCTTAAACATCCAAATAATCTGATTCTATAACTCGATTGAGTATCTTAACAGAACTAAAATCTCAACCATTCCAAGATTGGGAGAAAAGTGGGGTCAAAATGAAGTTATAATCAATTTTTGATGGGATGGAGTATCCCATAAAAGGCCCCCATGTACTTAGTCAGACCATGTGGAGAAGTATGGAACACGTATTTGGCAATTTACTCATCAATGTAGAGGAAAAGCCGTATTTCATGCAAACTTCCATTCTCAGCAAAAAATATTATTATTAATAACATATATATATAAAAAAAAAATCTTGGAGTGCAGACATTGACAACAACCCTTGAGGATAGGAAAGTCACAAGACGAAGAAAGTGAAATATGTCCTCTAGACAAGGAATAGAAAACATGATTATAACCTCAAATTTCGGGCAAAAATAACATGAGAGACAGTGATAAACAATAAAAGGTTTTGGTGTGATAAACAATAAAAGGTTAAACAGTAATAGATGGCAATAAATTTCAATAGGAATGAAGAATACAGCTGATAAAATTTAAACCTTGGGAAGAAAAAGACTCCAATTGTCCCTTTGCATCACAAGAGGCAAGCAAAGCAATAAAAGAAAAGCTCTGTCCCTTTGCATCACAAGAGGCAAGCAAAGCAATAAAAGAAAAGCTCAATGCAGCCTTACAGTAAGAGTAAAAAGGTTAAAGCCAAAATGGACTATTCACCAAAAAGCTTCATATTTCAACAAATCATTTGAACAATACCCATGAAATTGTCTGCTTTAATGCAACTAAATTAACACAACATGTTTAAGTTTCTATTATTAAACGACAAGAAAAAGTGGGTGTGATGTCCCATCTTAGGGTAAAAGAGTTTGAAAATGTGAGAGAGGGCCCTTGTCTGTGTTATCAAATTCAAATCAAAGAATTATGCCGAAGCCAGGTGTACCCTATCATCACATCTTTGAGATTAACCCATCATTTTATTAATTTATGTTATACTTTTTTTTTATTTTGGCTTTCAAGCTATAAATTAATAAATAATAATTTCCATCATTGACCCTAATAAGATCTACTAAATCCCTATTTTCTCAACCAGATAAATTTCCAAGGTAAATCTGCTAATCACAAGCATTAATAATAACTATCTAACAACAACACAGACTGTAATTGAATTGAATGAATTCCAAATCCAAGTATAGGGATTAACTAGATTTACAGCATCGATTCAACTCCAACTACTTTGACAAGGTAAATTAGTTGTTACCTCAATAGGAGTAAGCCGCCTAATGTAAAACATCTCTGCAGGTTCAGGCACGCCCCCGACTGTCCTGCGAATCCTGCGGCAAGCGTGCGAATCCCTAATGCAAGAACTGATTTTGGACCAGTAATCCGGGCTGGCGACCCGATCCGCTAGCCATCCGGAGTAGTCCCCAAGAGAGTAATCCTCGTAGACCCGGTTCAGGACGGGGCGGCCGGAGCCCCGGTCGGTGACGGCGTAGGCGAAGATGACGAAACCGAGGAGGGCGGCGACGATGAAGAACATGGCCCAGAGGTAGAGGTAGAGGAGGAAGTTGTTACGGTAGCATGAGCCGGCGAATCCGGCGAGGGAGACGACCATGATGGCGACGCCGATGACGATGAGGGGCCACTGGAGGAACCTCATACAGTCGGTGTTGTTGGCGCGGCTGCTCAGCCATATGCCGCCGCCGAGGATGGGGATGGAGAGGAGGAAGGTCAGGAAGTTCAGAAAACCGATTAGGTGGTTGCTGGTTCTCATGGCGTGCGGCGCGTGTCTTTTGGAAGGGGAGCTGAGGAGGTGGAGTGTGACGATGTGAGCTTCTATTGGGAGGCGAGAGAGAGCGAGAGGGAAAGAGGGATGAATTGATATGTATGTGTGTATATAATGTGTTACATGTTATGTAGTGTTGAAATATTTTGGGAAAAAATAATTAATATATTATTATATGTATGTATGACGTTTTTATGAAGACTTTATTACTAAGCTTTCCTGATTATTTTATTTTAGCATTATTGCGCCTTTTTTCCTGTATTTCGTGTTAAATGACACAAGTGACCTCCATAGAGATCATATGAATCTATTTTGAAATGTATATTGTGGACGAGAAATACTAACTATGGTATAACTATGGTATGGTTTTGTAGGTATAAAATAGAAATTAATAAATTATACAATATATAATTGAAATTGTTTTAAAAATATTTCTACACCTATGAAACTCTAGACATTTTTTATGTCACATAGAATTTTTGTGTCATGTGACAACAAAATAGAGCAATCCATAGATCATTAGAGACGTTCTTATAAAAATATACGTCAACACACTAGTAAAAAAAACACTTGTTACATTGGATAAAAATGACGCGTTAACATCGACTTTTGAAACTACGTAACATCAACCGATATTATTCATCTGAACTTGTTACATCGATTTTACAAAATTGATGTGACACGACAAAATAATCGATCTAATAAGTAACATACGATATCGGTTTTAAAAAAACAATGTTAAGGGAGCGATGCTATTATGATGATATTTTGGCCGGTACATCGATTTTGCATAATCTATACGACATCTTGCTTATTGTTGCACGTACCTTGAATTTGAGTGGGCACATCAATCCACAATTTTTTCTCTCCCGATTTCTTTCAGCACATTGTAGAGATACCTATTATAACACACTACACTATTGAAGATTTTTGAATTAAGTGATTAAAACAACAAATTATCACCTGAAAATGCACATAAAAAGTAAGCGGACAAAAGTTGAGAAATACTTACATATTGAAGAATTCAATAATAGAAATGCAAAGTTTTTGACTTTGCAACATCTCCACTATGTCCTTCCAAAATAAGTACAAATCTCTCTTCTCTCCTACCTCCTCAATCGGCATATTTACACAAATTGAAATTTTTATATCAAACGTTGTTGTCCACAAAGTTCTCATGACATTTATCTCAGGTTTAATTACTGATTTTGTTGTCACTTGCTTCGGTTGATAAGCACCCTATGTGAATGAGAAATTTATTTACATAACGTACACCTAAATGATTCACTATATGTAAATAACTTATATGAACTAAAGAACCATTAGAGACAATGGAGTCAAAAAGATAATATTCTTTGTCACTTGCTTCGATTGATAAGCATCATATGTGAATGAGAAATTTATTTACATAACACCTAAATGATTCACTATATGTAAATAACTTATACTACCTCCTATTCTTTTTAAATGTCATTTTGGCTTTATCAACTATTAACCAAAATAAATGTCGTTTTGGATCTTTTGTACATATTTTTTCATTATTACCCTCATTTAGTTAATAAATACACTACGTCTTTTCATATTCTCTTCATTATTTTTTTTTAAAACATCCATCTCTATCTTCATTAATGAGGGTTATTATTGGAAAAAAAAAATTTATTCTTAATTAGTGTACAACTTCCCAAAACGACACTTATTATGAATAGGAGGGAGTATGAATTAAAGAACCATTAGAGACAATGGAGTCAGAAAGATAATATTCAAAGTAAGTAATTTTAGTTACCTTTGCATTTGCAACATTAACCAACCTACAAGGCCAAGTAACGACGCTATTTGGCTCTTTCTCTACGGTAGTGACCTCCTATGCCGGGCAGGGCCTCTCAAACGACTACACATGACATGACAACCCTCACTTTGTCCTCATCCATCTTCTTGTGGTGAATGGTTGACCCGATGTGACGGATACGTCCATATGCAACCAAAATCATTTATGGGTACACCACATACAACTGACATTTTTATCACCATTCAGTTCATTTATTGATACAATACTCAAAGCATCGCTACCTTTTCTGCTTTGGATCATCATAAAATCAGGACTAGAGGCCGATAGAGAGTTATTGCTCATTATCATCATCATCTCTTTTTTCATTTGCTCTATCCTATGACTACGACTGATGATGGTTTCCATCTCATCTCGTGAAATCAAATCGGTCTATGCACTGAGACAACTCGACCGTCGAGAGTAGTATTTCATCCCAACACCCTTTCCCACTCCCCTCACATGCCCGGGATGCTCCGCCTTTGCTAATGCAGTTGCAAGTATATTGTTTCTCCCAACATGTCTGAAGTTTCCGTGAGAGCATTGTTCTTGTAAAGAATCCTACATCAAAGGTTTGAAGAATTTACAAACATGTTACAATTTTATCTATCCATGAATGTACGAGTAAATTGAAATATAAAAACCAGTGTTCTAAAAGTCGCTAGGTGCTCGCTAGGCGCTTGACCAGCACCTAGCGCCTAGGCGGGGCCTAAGCGACGCCTAGCCGGGGCCCAGAAATCAATATTAAATACCATATTTTTTTATTTATTTTAATTATCTACAAAATAAAACTATCTCAGCTTATAATAAATTCACACACCAAAGTCCAAATAATAATATTAATATATATTAAAGAAAATATGAGAACAAAATAATGTATTAGTATTTAAAAAAAAACTGAAAAATTGCGGCCGAGCCCGCCTAGGAGCGCCTAGATCCGTCTATTCTCGCCTAGACGCCGCCTAACCGTTTGGCTGCCAAGCCCGCCTAGGAGCGCTTAGGGCCGCCTAGCCGCCTGACCGATTTTTTCTGCCGATTTGTGCAAATCGTAGGCGCCCGGACACCGCCTAGCGCCTAGGCGCCGCCTAGGCCGATTTTTAGAACAGTGATAAAAACACATCACTTATGGTTTTTTTCAGCAACAATTTTGGCATCTTTTGAGACATAATCTCCATTCCTTGCCATACTAGCTCTTTTCCATGATTCAGGACGAGAAGGTGGAGATGGTGGTGCAATAATTGTGTAGGGATCATTATATGCCTCTTTTCTTGCCCTGTATTTCTCGTTAATAATTTGCTGCTCCAATTCTATATACCCTCCATGGATATTTATTATGTGATTGTATTTCCTGAGCCTTTTTTTCTTTTTTCTTGCATACATATAGATAAAATAAGAGAAAGACCAATAAAAGATGATGTTGTGAATAAACAAATAATCAACATACTGAAAGTTTGAACTGATTAAGCTCATAAAAAAGAAAACGTACAGATGAAGTATATTTTCATGAAGGACACCAGATGTTTATACTATACTGTCATCTTAAACTAATTAAGATGAAACTAATCGAGGGAAGGTATGTTTAGTTGCTTATATTTGTTATCTTTTGAATAATGTGATGCCGACGAGATTGCATTAGCATATCTCGACAAATTTGATCGACTCGTCTTATTAGTTTGAATGCTATTCCATTTCTTATTATTATTATTATTTATATTTATGTTGTATTGGGCTTGTTGTGTTTGGACTTTTAAGTATAGGTGTTTAGGACTTATTTATTACAGTTGTGATTGTGTGTGAAGGCAGATGAATTTATCAGATTAAGAAAATATCATCTTCTATGTTTCAGAGAAGAAAAACATCTTTTCATACAATCATCCCATTCCTACGCTTCTGCATCATTTGGTATTAGTTAACCGGGACGATTCTCGATGCCGGCGAGACGACGAGATGCCAAAATTGACGATCGTCTTCAACGTATGGACGATCGGATGCAATTGATGGACAAGATGCCACCTCTTTGCAATGAGAGTGTACATTTCGTCAAACGTTGATCCAATGTGCATAGAGAACACAAACAATTCATTTTTGTAGGTACAACTCTCTAGTATATCACTTTGTGCCCCTTCCATGTATCTAACAATAATTGGATAAAATAAAATAACTTCACATTTCCCAGCAAATATGGTACCAAACAGCATTAAAGTGGTACTAAGATACACAAACAGAGGTACAATAATCAAGAATAGTGGGACAATGATCATTCTCACCTTATTTCTTGTTTTATGGTGAATAACACCTAACATAACCTAACAATAGCATCAACTTCATATACATGAACAAGAAAAAAGAGATTATGATCAATTTATTTGATTTAGGGTAAATATGAACAACAATATTCAAAATTCAATCGTTGACAAATTAACCAAAAATATATGAATTAAAGATGATTTTTAGAGTCCAAAATCTTCATATAATACATAGATTACTTACTACTTCAAATTTTGGCCGGAAAAAAGACAAACATTGCCGGAAAAATATCATTTTTGCCGGAGAAAATTCACGTTCGGAACACTTCTTTCACCGGATTTGTTGCCTCCGGAGTTCTTCTCACCGAATTTTATGTCGCCGGAGGACGAACCTGCAACAAAAAATAAATAAATAAATAAATAAAGACAGAGAGTTGCCAGAGAAGGTGACGGGAGGGAGGGAGACGGGAGGAGAGATTTTTGGTGGGGAAGGTTATTGGGGAGAAATATAATATTGTGTATGGTAAGAAAATAAAAAAGGTATAAGAAAAACTAATAAAATAATGTAGAATGGTAAGTTGTAGTAGAGTGATGTCATAAGTTAATTTATTTTTGATTTATTTTAAGAAGAGGGAGTTAAGTGAAAGAGTTATAGAGGGGTAGGGAGTGAAAAGGGATTTATTTTAAGTGGGGACTGAAAAGGAAGTTAGAAAAGGGTGTATGGATTTAATAAGAAGTTGCCCAAGATTACATCCATAAACACGCTTAACGTGTTCCAGAACTAAAATTAATTTAATTTATACCAAAATAATACTAAAAACACAAGTTCACCAAGAACTTGTTACGAGTACAATATCCGTGTACTACACGGGTATTTGTTAAGAAAATTATAATTAAAATTAAATAATAATCACAACAAAATTGTTTTAGTTTTTAAATAATTTTTGAAACAGTATATTATCTTACACGATTTATCATCTTATATTTAACCTGCCATATGTCTGATACATAGTCGAGGGCTCTATATGAAAGAAATCGAAAGCATTGGTACTGGTGGGAATGACTTTGTCTCACTGGCAGGCATCTTTCGACCAGTGAACAACAT